CTTAACATATAAGTGGCCAAAGGTTTAAGATTTGAAGTTATCCATGTTACACGTACTGGGAAATGTTTTAGGATGGACAAGAACTGAAACAAGTTGTAGACGGCATCTCCTCGTGCACTGGAGATTTCTGGCGAAACGTGATTCGGGCGTACCACTGACTACATTAAATTAAAATTTGAATTAGCAATTCTTACCACATGGTAGTGGGCCTGTTGTAGAGAAACATCACACATAGTTAACGACGTAACGCGTTATTCGTCGTTGAATTAACAACATTTCTGAATTAACAACGTCTAAAGCTGTCAATTATGAAACCACAAGGTGTCGACTTCTGCCGTTTAAACCAAAGCAAGGGCAATCCAGAGTAAAGTTCGAGAGGACATCTTCATGCAACCCGAGCGCTACAAAAAGGATAATTACCATAATTTTTGTTTGATTTTCTGACCAGGAAATGTCTAGAGCTTTTCTTGTATCCACTGCGTGCGCAGGAGAGCGGCTCAAAATCCTCCCCCAGGAGAGCCTCCACGGCGTAAATGACCCGCACGCCAAGGTTTGTTTTCGCGGGCTTCGCCGAAATTTGTTTTTTTTGTCGGGAAATTCAATCTCGTCCAGGCTCGAGTTCTGCCGGCCTTGCCGAGTCAAGACTCTGAAACCGACACGGTCCCAAGGGCCGACGTCTCTTAACAATCCCCGGTTCTTTTCGCTGACCACTCATCTTTTTTTCCTCGAAAGTCTGGTTTTTCTCAGCTGGGATTTCTGACGAGTTATAGATATTACTATTGAGCATCGTGACGATGCTCGTCATCAGAACTAATCAGAATGGATTTTTTCCCTTTCATCATCGGTAAGTTTTAAGAAGATAATTTTCATTAATAAATTTAAATTCGGACTTATTTTTGTCGTTTGTCGATGAAAGAAAACAAGAAAAAATAACAGTAACAGCGAAAACAACGGCAACAGCATCAGCAAGGGTAGCAGCAGCAGCACAGCAGCAGCAGCAGCAACAACAACAACGACAACAACAACAACAATAACAACAACAGCAACAACACCAACAACAGCAACAAGAACAGCATCAGCAAGGGCAGCAGTAGAATCAGCAGCATCATCAACAACAACAACAACAACAACAATAGCAACAACAACAACAGCAAGGGCAGCAGCAGAAGCAGCAGCAGCAGCGGCAACAATAGCAATAGCAACAGCAACAGAAAAACAACAACAACAACAACAACAGAAACAACAACCAAAACGAGCAAACCCAGCACAAGTGTTTACGACAGAGGGGTCGCCGGAAGGGTGACTTTGAAGTAGCATCACAGCAGGTGATCAGAACACAGTTCCGGAGGAAGTAAGTATATACAGACTGACTTGACATACAAACCCAAGAGAAGGTGATTCACTTAGAATTAGACAGCCACCGTGAGACAGGGACGGACAAACACACCAGCACAAAAGGAAGTGAGTATACGAACAAACGATGCGCGTCAACTGAAACAGGGAATACGCGACACACCCTTAGCAACAGGCGGGCATGAACGGAATAGAGGAGACGGGAAAAACGCAGGAGGTTGAAATACCAGGTAAATGAAAACCACACAAGGAAAGATAGACCACTGGAAATGCGAATGGTCGTCAATACACACGGGCGTAAATTCTCGTTATTCTTGGCTCTGGAGAGAGAAAAAAAGGAAGCATCATCGTGGATGAAAAATGCATGAGATGCGCGGAGTGGTTTATTTTAGTTCGTTCTTTTTCCTCCCTCTGCGTCGCGAATAATATGAATATTATATTAGTCTGCTTGTGGCTTATCGTAAAACCGAGGAAAAAGTGGTCATTTGATAGGCTTCTATACCATTGCTCAAACACTCTTACCTTGATTGATACGATCATTAGGATAAATAATCGAAGAGATACGAAAGATGGCCGACATCCAATTAGCGTAATTGTAGGACAAAGTCTGAGAGACGTGTGTGCATAAGGCTGCCCGCTATTGGCTCATCAATGTACCGGTGGTGGGCAATGTTTGTAGCCCCGGCATCAGTATAATTGAGGTGTCGGCTTGTTTGACTTCAAGCAGGTGACAACCGCACGGTTTTCGGCCATGTGCCAGCTAGGCCCCAACGATCTGACATACGACGATTCACAGGAACAAAAAAAACCCAGACTTTCCAATATGCAAAATGTCATTATAATCAGCACTATAGATTGAAACATGCTTTGATGGACGAAAATAATTAATTTGCTTGTAGCCTCTGCTCACAGGAGTAGATTAAGCTGACGTTTCCATGCTTTATAGTCGTCTATGGGACTTACGGTACTGGTTGCAATTATACATATACCAGAAGTCAATGTCACCAAACACTCCTGCGTCGTTGAAAAAACTACATTGCAACATTTTGTGAATATGATATCATGTTTCAATATTTAGTTTCTGAACATGCTGAATAGCACAATTTTTTCATATAAACCATTCAAGACAAAACTGCTGTGTAAAGTTTACACCCTCGCCTTTGTTAACACCAATTTCACGCGACAGTCTCTCGCACAGTACATAACCATGTCCGTGTACATTTCTTTTAAAATGAAACTGCATGGCAATTATAATCTTTTCCTAATTGCATCGTTTCAAGTTATGGGATTCGTAGACATAAACAGCCCTGTTCAAACTTGGATATTTCTCAAAATCAACTTCACTAGATAACAGTTTAACCAGATAACTAAAAAATGACCAAAACAAGTAGCAAAACTTGATTAACTTGGTAAGTGAAACTTGGTAAACCCAAGTTCAGTTACCCAAAGTTCTGGGGAAAAAAGCTGTTCTCGATATTATTTTAAAAATCGAATTACCTCTGAGCTGAAAGAAGTGGTTGCCGAAATTCAGAGATTCATTAAAACCAGACGTGCATCAACAAGAACGGAAACATACAAAAATCAGCAACAAGTAAGAAACAAACTCAGATTTATCTGGAAATTATGGATATTATGATCTAATATTCCATCAAAGGGATATATCACCCTTTTATGAATCCACTTCTGCAAAGAGCTGAACAACATTTTCCAATACAGTCAATGAGGCACTCTGGACGACCTGTCGAATGAACGATACTGGTTGTCACACACCCCTGTCAAATAAATACCGGCATCATCGGTGGTTCGCATCACTTTAACCCGAAGGAAGTTTTTTTTTTATTACTTTTCAATATGGCGTAATTTTCCCGCCCGCGGTAAAGAAATAAACTCTCCAGAGAGAAAAAGAATGAAGGCAATATACGCGATATTAAAACAGATTCATCACTCTTCACGCGTCGTTTATTTCATAGCGCACGTCAGAAATCATGTTGTCTAATTAAACCAGAGTCTAAACAATTTCGAATTGATAATGATGCCCTATATACAGACGCGTTTTTTCCTCATGTTTTTTTTCTTTCCCCTCCAGGCCTTATTCTGTCTATATACCTGCCAGTTACCGTGCCCTATGCTTGGCTAGCCGTGTGTGGAACCAGACACATGTTTTCTCTCTTTAGTCTTACGGGTCTTCTGTTGTGTGGGACACCACCACCGAGGAGGAAGGGGGGGAGGTTTCCCCGCCTGAACGCCGATAACCGCGCGTAATCTTCCCTCCCACGCTCCGCCGGTGGTGCACGACACCTCGGAAGCAGTCTTTTTTTTTTCTTTTTTTTACGGAGTAAAGGTATCACTTATCCCGTCCTGGATGTTATTAGGAGCTGCGAGAAAATGCGGGATTTATCCCTCGGTTTCTTGGCCTGACGTCGCGTGCTGGACTTACCCACGGTGCTGAGACTGTCCTCAGAAGTAATGCAATTGCGCACATCTTTTTTTTTCTAAGGCCGCGTCCGAATGACTTGGCTATGGCTTGATATGGGAACCGTCTGTGGCCACTACCATAGACTAATGCGTAATTTCAGGCTCCAGCCAAGTAATTCGGACACAGCCATAAGAATGTGCCACTGTACATACCTTACACCTCTATCTAAACTTCATCTAAAGGAAGTCTTCTGGTTTCCCTTAGGTGATTTTTTCCTCCATCCTAACAAATATTACTCAAATGTAGCCATCTAGTGAAAAAAGTTCACATCGTCAGCAATGAGTCTTCTTTATTACACAAACAAAAATGACAGGTCTTCCTTTATCCCTGTGAGAACGAGACAGGCAATTGACGAACTTAATGAAGTAAGAGCACGAGAAACGCGGTTCACGCACCCCACAAAAATGGGTATTACATCCCGACAGCCCAAGGGGCTTGTTCCGCCGAAAGAATTTTTAAACTACAGACTGCACGGCTCAGAGAGCCGGCAGTTTAGCGAGACCGAACGCTGACTTTTCCCCCCTTTTTTAATAGCGGCCTCATATAAAACGGGGAGCATAGTGTTTCACTTGTCGCCTGGGCGCTGGTAATGATCTTTGTCGGCCACGCACTGATTGAAAACTCTGTACATACACGGTATTAATTCGACCATTGAGCTATAACACGGTGCAAGCAATAATGACTTTCAAATCCAGACGTTAAATGACTATCTACCATCAGTACGTATTCATAGCTCACTGCTTGGGGGAAAAAATGGGGAATTGTCAATTTTACGGAACCCACCCCCCAGAAAGCTATTCTATGACGTGGCATCCTGACACCTTGAATAGAATTGTAACATGCGTGTTGAAATGTTTTCCTCAAGAAGGAGGTGATCAGAAAAGGGACAAACTTTAAAAAGGGCAAGGCGCCTGATTTTGAGCAAGAAATACGAAAAACAAAATTTTAGATGTCAATACTTTTTCTGACGAAAGATTACCAAATCGAATCGTGATCATCTTAAATAGAAGGCCAGAACACACAACAACGCTGTACTGTATAATTTCAATAAAAAAAGACAGTGTTAGTGGTTTCTACCAAGAAAACCGGGCACTGGACGGGTATTCCCTTTTTTAACGGCGAATATTTCGTTTCTTGCACATAACGACAAAACAGTTCGTTTTCTACTCACCAGAAAAGCCTTCGCGCTTGTGTCTTTTCTCCGGCTTGGGAATACCCAGGATCCCGTTGATGGAATAGGAAGAGCCAGTGCGGTCCCCCTCCGGCGATAGAATGCTGTTGGAGGAGGCCGAGGAGGAGGCGAGCCCGGTCAAGGTGTCCTCATCCGGTTTCTTGTCACCGAGTTTGTTTCTGACAATTCTGGCAGGGGAATCAGGACAGAAAAAAGTGTCACATAAAATAAGCATTTATATGAAAAGGGGTCTCGGCACTGATCTCTCACTCGTGGTTTCGAGGCGAACACAGTTATTAGAAACGAGTGGCAATCGAACCGCCGACCATGCTCTGATCATGCTGGCCCTCTCCATTAACAAGAGGACCTTTAAATATTCCCAAAGTGGCAGACAATAACATAACATCAGTCAGGCTGGAAACTTCAGTTGGTAGCGCACCTGAGGAACTCCTCATCGTTCGAGTTCTCTAAAGTGAATTCTTTGATTTTCTTAATTTTGAAGCTAATCATCCCATCAATTAGGTATTTCGACCTTTCTTAACAAGCTACGTGGCAAACGATTTGGATGGTCAACGTTGATAAAAAATGTTAACCTATTTGTCGAAATGTTAACTCTGTAATGGTTCTTTACAAATGGTCCATAAAGACAATGTTTCACGGAGGAAACTATCAGCGTCGGTTCAAAAGTGGACGAGACCTTCCCAGCGTTCGCAGGTATTTTGATCACGGACAGGAAATTTAGCGTATGAACGATGAATTCAAACATCAGGTTGTAACGGAAACAGAGAACTACAACTCGTAAGTTGCCAACTCAAGATCCTTTGAGACAAGGGCAACCTCACTCCCAGCGAGTCGAGCAGTGCGCCCCTCGACTGCTCACTCTGGTGGCTACACCCGTTGCTATGCGGTTAGGAATAAAGTAGCATCTGGGAACGAGGCCGGTCATGGTGTTAAAGGTTAAGTTTTTGATTACGGCCAGAAAAATCGACAGAGGGTGCTCTTCCATGTCAAGTTTAAAATGAGGGCGCATTGAAAAAAAAAAAAAACTAAACCAAACCAAACCAAACCAAATTAAGTGTCCAGAGCTATACCATACCTATTGATGGAGCTAACGCTAGGCACGCTGTCTTTCTCGCAGACACCCTCGGCCAGTAACCGGTCCCGTATCTCCCAGGCAAACATGGTGGGATTCTGCCGTTTGTACTCCGCGATCTTGTTCACGACTTTTGGAGTGGCTACCTTGGGCTTACTTCCTCCGATGACCCCTGGCCGGATTGATCCCGTCTCGTAGTACCTTTTTTAAGCGAGAGGGAGAAATGATGAAATTGAGAATTACTCTTTTCAAGAATCGAGGACCAAACTGAATTAATCGTTGCCCGTTTATGACTTAATGTTGATGACGACGAGCATTGCAGTGCAGTGTTGGTGGTGACATGTTGGCATGTACAAGAACATCAATGAAGCACCGTTAAAGAACTAGACGATAAAAATAGCATTATAATTTTAACCCATGGAATATAACAATATGGAAGCCGACTAGTAATCTTCTTTGCATGCAAGGAGAAAATGTCTACCAATTTCTGTACCTATACACAATCTCGTCAACAACCGCGCTTGAAATAAACTACCATTACAAAATTTGATCAACATTTTTTTCGGAATTCGGGTGTGGTAGACTACGCCAGGAGGACTGTGCACCAACACCCAGTGACACACCACACCACATGAAAAAAAAAAAAGAAGTTAGGTTTCCTCGCGTCATTTTATTTTCCCGCCCTAATGCCACACAGCCGAGTTGGCTCTTGCATAATGAAGCCCGCCATATATACTCCTACAGTGCAGACTCTCCCTAGACCTCACGTTGCTTTTAACGACTGGAGCCCGCCATTAAAATTTATCGCTGAAATATGAAATTTGATTGGTGGCTGGCTGCGGCCATTAAGGGGCCGCGCCGTGTGATCCGACGGGCAAAGATGTGCAGGTAGCGGGGAGCATTACGGCCTGCGCGTATTATGCACATAAAGCGGTGCGGTTCATCTACGCATAGTATAGTGACAATGACAAAAACACACAGGATGAAAAAACACAACTCCGTGAACAGATGTACAACAACAAATGGCGACTGACAATCAATCATCTTGGGAGACACTGCAGTATGGCAATGAAAATTTTTTGAAAAAGGAAAAAAAATCATTAAACTGAAACGACATGACCTTGAATGGAGGGTAATGATATACTGTCTTGTACAAACTGTCTCTGCATCTGTTGTGTACATTTGATACACGCATTTATTTGAACGTGCCAGCAACATTTTGAGTGCTTCTGTTTGAGTTTCGTATGTGAGAGTAGTAAAAATTTTCCATGGAGCCATGGAGGATTGCAGTGTGTACTTTTTACAGACATACCAAGGTTAACAGACAGATATCTGACTTGAAAAATAAAGCTTGCCTTCTCCTGGGCGGAGTGTCTTTTGGAAATATGTTTGAACAATTAGCTTTCTAAGTTTTAGCCTGCTGGGCAGTTACTAGCAGTGCTATTCGATGTGAAAATGTCTGCCCGACAGTTCGTTACGTGCAGTTATTACGGGAGTTGATATCAACCCAGTTTACTGTCGACAGTGCCCGTGGGCGTCCTGTTTATTCGACACTTCACCTACCTGCCAAGAATCTTGCTGACGCAGCCGTGCGACACGCGAAGTTGCCTGGAGATGTCGCAGGGTCGGACGCCGCTGTGGGCCAAATCGACAATTCGCTGTCGAACCATGTCGGGCAACGGCCTCCCGTTCACAAAAACGCCGCCAAGTTGGTTCACTCCTCCGTGACCTATTCGATAACAGCGACAAAAAAATAAATAAATTGAGGGAAAGTATTTCATTCAGATGTCAAAAAAAGGCAACATTAAGAGTCAAACATAATTCAAAATGAATATCATGTTTCCCCAACAAAACAGCACTTCAACTCCAGCCTTAAAGGAGGAGTGTGAAAATGTAACCTCTGAAATAGAGTTTAGTTAGTGCAAGTTAAAGGTATTTATGTATCTATATATCTACATGTATATATTAAGCCGATGCGTGAATTTATTCACAACAGAAGTACCGGTATTTCATATCGACTGCGTCGTGCTTTGGGCAAACAAACGTTTATAAAAGCCGGTCCGTGCATGAGTATGAAGCTAAATTCTGCGTGTTTAAATGGAATTAACGCGTTGAACTCGTAAGAAAAATTACAATTCATAAAGTGATTATATCACGAACATCAAAGGTTAAAAGCAATGTGTAGAGCAACAATGCGTACACGTCGTGCATCACATGCAAAATGGCGTAAGGCCCTATAACTCCAGCCAATTTAACGCATGCAGTAAAAATGATGACATCGCGTTCATCAAGTCACGCCACGTTGACTGCCGGGAATTTCCTGTCTCGGTGCAGTCGCTGGATTTTGCTGTAACTATTAACTGACAAAGCAGACACAACGCCAGGAAATTCTTTTTCGGGCCTTGGGTTCAAATGTTGACAAGTATTCGCCTATGAGCATTATTTTGAGCAGACGCGTGGTCTCAGTTTCAAGTTATTGTTTTTCATCCTCCAATAAGCATTGCCATGTTCTGTTCTGCGCGTCTATTCCGAAATTTACGGCTGGTTTATAGACTACTTTTGTCATACCAACATCAGCCGTATTTCTCATGAACAGGGCGCCCATGTTATGTATATAATTATGCTGTACAGATGTCGTAGCCAGAATACGGGTTTGCCAAGTGGCTGTCCGTGCTCTTTCGTTTAGAAAGTACGCTGGTGACGTTGGTGGACATATCAATTGCGTTTCAGTCCGCCTAAAAAAGTACAATTCGCAGCTTAGAGACGGAGAGAAAGGCAGGAAACCATGTATTAAAATGAAGCTTGGTTTTGCGTTGGACTGCCACAAGAAACGGAGTATCTCGTCTGCACTTTGGAGTTTCAAAAAAACAAGAAAAAAAAAAAGAAAAAAAGAAACAGAAACCAAAAGAAAAGAGGGACACTGCCACTACGGGCCAAAGTCGATGATCGACTATTTTTGGTCGTTTTTTTCCTTTTATTTATGACAAATTACTATTTCTACCCGAATACGTAACGTTCTTACCAACCATTATTCAGTCATCCCTTTAAAGAAAACTGCTCGTGTGTCGGCTCATTAATTTCACTAATCTCACCTCAGTCTCGATAATTTACAAGTTGGTTTGATACATACAGCAAGTTCAAGAGCCTACTGCTTTGGTGTAACTGCTTCAAATAATACCATGCTAATGAAACGAATCTATTCTTAACGGATCATAAAACGCAAACGCGCAGACAAAACGACGCGGTTGAGAGAATTAAAAAAAAAATGCCAGCATCTATCGACTCAAAGACCCTCAACATATCAGCGAGCCGTGACTAACTTGCGCGTATGCAAGTTCAGCCCTAGTCGAAGTGAAGCGTTCCGGAAGAATTCGAAGGGGAACCCCCCTCGGAAACAAGACCGCCATCACGCCAAGCGTGAAAGAGGGTGCTGAATTTTTAAAAAAGAGGCACATGACGAAGACGGGGTATTTCCCCGTGTCGGCGGAGGGGAAAAGAGGTGAAAACAAGAGGCCGTAGGTGTGACAGCACCTCCAAAGGGTGCGCTTCGCGTCTCGCTGCTCATCATGCGCGTTACACACTTCACACTCGGTCACCGTTCAGGTGGCAAGCTAGCCGAAATCTCCAAAGACAATGTTTTCATTAGCTAGAGAACACGCGCATAATTTATTGATCACCTGCGCGTCGATGCGAACACCCATCGTTTCTATGTATGGGCCAAACAGAATGTATAGCCCTATGCTGTTCAGTCGAAAAATAGGGGAAAAATTAAAAAGACCCAACTGTTTCGATGTCCTTGAAACGATATGTTTGCTCGACGGTATTGGTGTAAATTTCTAAGTAAGCCGACAGCCTGGAACAACAAGTGAACTTAAAGGAGAGATCAAAATCATTGAAACAACGCTGACCGTGAAAGAAAAACATGGCAGGGAATCAGCAGCCGCGAGTCAGACCAGAAATTGATAAACGCAGGAAAGAGCTTTCTGAGGAAGGTTTGCCTGTTTTTCGAATACTGGCTGTAAATATATGACCCATCGGTATGCGCCAGCAGCAGCCCGCAACGCAGACCGGCAGAAAAATGGTGTAACAAAACACGCTAAAAGCATGTTAACACGATACGTCCCCTCCCCATCTCCCCTTCTCTGGGCAGCCGAGAATTGGCCCGTCGCATGAAGCAAGCGCGGCCGTCTCCCGCTGCATGCAGCGCCGTACCGTGGCGTGCCCGCGCCGACGTTCGGACAACACTGTCCGACACGGGACATCTGGTGGGCGTAGGTCGCTCCGCATAAAGATCGTGACAGCTAGCACGGGCTTAATTCTGTGTATACACAAACAAGATTTACGCAGCTCAGCCACTTTTTTGCCCGTCGACCCTCTTGCCCAAAATGTTGTTTTAACGGACACAAAAGGTGTTTAAACAAACTCCGGGACGTATTCCGACGCTATCAGCGAGAGCACGGGTTAACACTACGTCAGACCATGGACACAGAAAAAAAATAAGTGGCCAGACATCGCATTGGTTCGCGTGGCCGTAGATAAACCCAGCCACTGAATTCTGTCATCACGGTTGGTTATGTTTGATCTTGTGAACTGGTCTTCGAGAATTTTAGAAGAGCTAAGAGTGATATAAAATCCTCCAGCACTTAAGACGAACAAAAGGATCAAATGATCCCTTGTCGTTATTATATCGAATCAACGTATTTAAGACCTATTGTTAAAATGGCCGAATGATTCTCACGTCGTTCAAGTTGGTACGACTTTAGTTGAAATGGACTACATGTACTTTATGTTTGGGTTTAACCGAATTTGAGGGCACAAAGTTTGGTGACAGGGAAACGTTTAAATAGTAATTAATAAGAAATAAACGATAAAGAGAAACATTGGGTACGTAGCATACATTAATGGGTAGAAAGGCAGAAGCACAAAAATTGCATGCTAATTACTTAGTATCAAGTCCAATTCAAATTGATTATCAAACATTTTGTTCAGTCTTCTGTTTGCTGTTTAATTTGGTTTATTAAGAGTACGGTATTTGCTTATAATCTTCTAGTAGAAACAAATCCTCAAACATCGTATGCCATATTTGTGCATGGTCACATATATCACTTCCAAGCCGAAAATCGACAGTGACTTCGAAGATGGCTTGCCTGAAATTTACCAGTTCAGCAGGAGAATCCCTGTTTAAGATCAAGAACATTATAAAGTACATTGATGACATGAGAATCACACAAGGGATATTTTGGCATTAATATCTTGACGGCCCGTCTGCCAATGCGCTCGCCTCGATAGCGTGATGGGTGTTCCCCCCCCCCCACGAGTCTGCTAGCGCGACCAGGTGTCAGCCAACGGGCACGGAAAATGGCAGCTCCATACCAGGCCCATCCCGTGAGGCGTTAACTAGCCCATTCCCTGAGATTATTGACCAATTATGGATTAGGATAACATATCCTACTGAGTCGCTCTGCCATTACACGTCAAACGAGCAGTGCAAACAGCGAGAAGCTCCAGGACTTAAGTGCGCCGAAATTGGCTACCTCCGTTTTTTTTAAGCCTCGCTGGGAGCGATGGAGTTTAGCCGGCCCGCATCCGGCGTTTCTATTAGCCCGCCGGCCCGAATCTGCCGCGGGACCGGGGTATGACTTTTGAGGGGGGGAGTCACGTCCGATGACTGCGTGTCAATACTGCTGCTAACCGCGAAGCACCGAAGCCATCAAAACTGGACGTATCATATGGGCAGGACCGAATCCCCGGGGAGAAGGAGTGATCGGTACAAACCCTCCAGAAAGAGAAGGCGAAAGATATCGGAAACTACCCCCGTTCTCTCTCCCTCTCGCTTCCGGGGGGACATCGATTTCCTGCACGCCATGCAGCAGCGCGCGCTGATGTATCAAGCGGGCCCTTGCGAATCCGCGGCCCCCGAGCAAACCGCAACAGTGCACGGTGCAGCCCATCCGCAGTGTGAAGTATGCGCGCGTGCATGACTTGCGTGTCTGTCACGGGACCGGAGCGCATCCCTGAGTCTTATTAATACAATTCAGCGCTCAAACAATGAGATTTGCCCGGGGGCAAACGGGACAGAAAAACAGAGAGAGATAGAGAGAGAGAGAGAGAGAGAGAGAGATAGAGGGGGGGGACAAAGGAAGGGGTGCTTTGGCGCGCTCGGGCCGCTGCATGTATTTCCCGGCCTTGCATGCATAATGCGTCAAAGGGATTCATCGCATCGCAACTCCCCGCCGCAAAGCCGAGCAGAGATCACGATCCGCGGAGTTAAGAATGATGGGTTTGATTCCGCTCGTTGATGCAGCCCGCGGGGCTAGCTGTGGACAACTGCGGCTTAACCGTCGAGATTATTGGCTGTGTAAAGTACAATCCGCGGGATCGCCTCTTGACTTTTCTCGACGCGTTTATGACGACTCCCGGCCTGAACCTCGACAGGCTGTGCATGCGGCATCCTGGCGCAACCTTTCATGGCCTGCGTCGGTCTCGCACCAGCCCACGCGATGTTTGCCGTCTAAAAATGAGCGGCAATCATGTCGAACCACCGCGAGTTCGATAAATTACGGCCCAGCGGAACGCGAGCATGAAGTGGCCGTAATTGAGAGGCTATTTCCCGCCTATTCTGCGGCAAGGGCACGCCGCTTCCTGAGACAAATATTCTGAACGATGATTAACGTCGCTTTACACAGTGCTGAGACTGCTGTGCGCGGCGCGCCAACGCGATATTTGCCC